CAGACGACCTTGTTATATTGGAAGAAGACCCTAAGGTACTGGAGACCATGGTGCAAACCCTAGTAGATATAAGTAAGGAGGTAGGTCTTGATATCAACACGAGCAAAACCAAAATGATGACAAACTCGGTACCTACAGATATAACCATCAATGGACAAAATATTGAATATGTAGAGGAATACGTCTATCTTGGACAGATAATATCTCCAAAGGATCAAATGTCAAAGGAAATAGACAAAAGAATTGCGATTGGGTGGAAAAAATACTGGGCTCTGAAAGAAATCATGAAAAGCAAGGAACTGAGACTGGAGACCAAGAAAAAAGCTTTCGATGTCTGTATTCTACCTTGCATCACATATGGCTGTGAAACCTGGGCCCTTACAAAACACCACAGGGACAAACTGGAGAAATGTCAAAGAAGCATGGAAAGGAGTATGTTGGGCATAAAATTAAAAGATAAAGAAAGAAGTGCAAATATAAGGCAAAAAAACCAAACTAACAGATATACTCTCACGAATTGACCTACTTAAATGGAGGTGGACTGGACATTTGCTTCGCTGCAAAACAGAAAAATGGAGCAAACAGGTAACAGTTTGGTACCCAAGAGATGGAGTTAGGAGCAGAGGTCGCAAGGTAAGAAGATGGGAAGATGAAATAAAATTGACCCTAGGACCCTTTTGGACCAGAGTAGCAACAGACAGGCTGCAATGGAAAGAGTTGGAGGAGGCCTTTGCCGTAAGGCACACCGAATTACGAGATATCATTTAATAAAATTTTTATCTACTTTAAATGTAATTTTTGTAAATTGTAAAAATTCGGAAATAAAGGGCTTTATTATTATTATTAAATGAAAATTAGTATTTATTCTCTATTAAATATAATTAATAATTATTTCATTAAATCATTATTAATAAAATGTTATTATAACATTAGGGGCTATCCATAAAGTACGTCACACGTAAAGGGGGTGGGAGGGGGTCGACAAAGTGTGACATGGTGTGACAAGGGGTGGGAGGGGTCCTAAGTTTCGTGACATCACATTTCAAAATCTAGAGGTATTAATCGCGTAATTTGAAATATTAATTAAACTAAAAAATATGTCCAACTTTATCTTTAGGGCAATACGGTTTAAATTGTTTTGTTGACAAGTTCATAGCCGCTTCTGACACGTGCCGATCGTATTTATATTCATTAGTTTATTTTTTTGTTATTGTTTCAAATATTTGATACTATGTTGATTTCATAAAAAAGTACTTAATTTAAATGGAAATAAAACTAATTTCCGAACTGCTGTTTTAATTTAATAATTTTTCGATGTTAAATTGCAAAACATGTGACGTCACACTAGGGAGGGGGGGGTCTCAGAAATGTGACCACCTGTGACAAGGACGGGGGAGGGCTCAAAAACTCATGAAATTAGTGTGACGTATTTTATGGATGGCCCCTTATAAAAAAACCAAAATAACATATATGTACTTTAAAAATTTAAATGTAGTCTGATACAGAACCTAGAATGTTATAAAATTATGAAAATATCTATTAATTGAAGTCCAATTATTAGACAAACATATATATAGATTTACTATTTAATCGCTTTGAATTATCAATTAAAATTTTTTAATGCTACGATTCTAAAGGTTATGATTTGGAGCCCAGGTAAAAAAATTAATTATTGAACTATACTTATTCGATTTATACACTTAGATAAATAATAATTAATAACAATACTATTATGAAAACTTACAACGAAATGATCTTCACAACAAAAAAAAAAAATGATTTTGTTTTTGAATAATCTCGATGCACTGCTTGAAACCATTTCTTTCGACGTTTTTCGTCTTGTGGAACATTTAAAAACATTTTTTCAGGAGTTGTTTTTGTAGTCTTTGTACATAATGGTACAAAACTTTTGATTATTTAACAATGCCAACAGAATTTACTAGATAAAAACTCAAAACACTGTACTAATTATTATATCTCTGTATGCTACAATGAGCAAAAACTAACATTGTGACGTCACACGCGCTCGGGTTTATTCACGAGCTGTCGGCTTGTCTTCGGTACTGAATTTAAAATTTAATTTTTATTTTGAAATAACTTTTTAAATATTGCAAAAAAAAAAATAAAATAAAAATAGTTTTGTTATTAAACTTATATATGATCTTTCCATTTATCACAAAAAAAAAAATAATTCAAAAACCCAATTATGACTCATAATACATAGTTAATAATGATTATCGTTTCATGATTAAATTTCATCTATTAAATAGTTAGTTTTGTTTTGTATTTTTAATATAGTGAGATAATGTTAGCCGGCGATTGGACATTTATAGCCTATTGTCGTGATAGGATCGAAATAAACTCTATATTGTATTGAGCAGCTGATCAAAATACGACCTTATGCTTTGGTGATAAAGTTCAAATTTAAATATAACTTGAAAATAGTTTGTGAATGCATTTTTAAATAAATATTTGAAGCGCTTTAAGAATTTCTATCCTGTCAGCAGCGTATTTTATTATATAAGTAATACAAACTTATTTGTTTTTTATTTAATTTATGTATGTGTAGGTATTAAATGTAGGTACTATGGTGTTCTGAAAGAAATGTACGATTTACAAAAAAATACAAAGTATTTTAGTTCCTAAATGAAAATAAGCCACTTTAGTTATGTTACTTTTCAATTACCATTCCGTAGTTTCCGCTTTCAATGATTACATTTTATTTGTCATACCCAAAATTTTGGTTAACAATATGGGCCATATAAAATTCTTATTCCTCGTGAAATTTTATTCAACGCAGTTTAACCTTTTTGGTGTATGAAAGTATCATATTTATTAATAGTATGAGCGTATGAAAATATAGGATCAATGATAATAATTGAAAAAACTGCGTAAAAAAATAAGTTGCTTTTCTAGTGATTCTTATTATATATTATGTGTATAGGAGTTTCCAAATAATATAGTAGATTTTTAAATAATCCGACCTGAATAGAACAATGTAAACACAAAGGTCATACTGTCAGATAAGGAACGTGAATCCAGCTATATCTGTCCCTTGGGCTACATCGTCCAATTAACAACTGGAGGAAGCGAATCAATGTACGGGACAATAGATGAAATTGTACCCTGCGGTGTGCTAATCAAAAACTCGGACGGTATCAACCAATAGGAGATGAGATATTATTTGATTATAAATAAAACAACCAATGGAAAATCATATTTTTATCAAAAATAAAACCTTCGTGATTAGTGATTGCTATCATAAAAAAAATTATTTAAGTCGAATAATTCGTCCAATATTGTCTCAACGATTTATGTTATTCACATTCGAATTACGATATCCAATATTGAGATACGTTGGACAGTGAATTTAAATGTTGGACATAAAATTAATTATACGCTGTAATATGAAATGTTTTGTTAATTATTCGTAACTGCAAAATTTGTTGTGTGTGGAGTGAAATGTTCTATAGTGATAATTCGTATTATTTTTGATGTACATATTAAAGACAACTAATGTTTATTTATTTTAAAAGTCCTTTATTAAACAGGCTTAATTTATACACGCGTATTTAATTATCTTAATTTGAAAACAACATTTTTAATTATAAAAAATCTAGTCGTTTACTTGTTTGTGTAATACTAGGTACTAAATCTATAAAGGACGCAAATAAAACCTGTTTCACAGTCCTCGCTATGCTATATTAATCGAACAAATCCATTGCGAATCAAATGACGCTCGCCCAACAGTCTGTAGAGTGTTGATTATTCTGTTTTAATGGATGGACTCCCGGCCTACTTCATTAAAGACAACAAACAAGCCCCCTCTTTATCTCTTCACCCTCTTAACCTTTGCGTCGCCACCCTAAACTTTAGGGTCTTTACCGCCAGCCATTTTTGGAATTGATATTTTAAATACAATGTAAATAAAACTACGCTCGGTTTATTTTCTTTGTCAACTGTTATGACTTGAATGCTTAAGGTTATGGCAGACAGTAGATTAGCTTGAATCGAGTTGTTTGGTTTAACTCTTTGAATTATTTTTAATTATAAAAGATCTAATTTTGCATACACCGGAATGTAATCAAAATATTAAATTTTTACGTTTACATTCGCGATCAATAGAGTTTTTTTTGTCATTTTACGTAAGGTTAGCAAATAATGCAGTGCTCATTTTAGCTTATACGAAAATCTTAATTAAAGAAACCAATTGTTTTTTCACATATTTAAAATATGCATGTTTATTTTTGTTTGTAATTTAATACTTGCTAAATAATTTTAAGGTCCAAGTATTTATGGTAAATTACGCTAACTGTTACGGAAGAGTTATAAAAACTGAAGTTTAAATTTACAATTCAAATTTTAAACATAGCTTACGTAACAATATTAAAAATGGTTAATCAAATATTGTATGATATAAACCTGAATAAATATATTGTTTATAGTGCTGATGCTGTTTTAATAGGCATTGCTTGTGTAGGAACGACCTGGTTGCGCATCGTCAGCGGTTAGCCAATAGGTGTCGCTTGTATTAAATATTATTTGGGGTATGCCCGGCGACTGAATGGCTCCGCTGAGTCAGATGTTGCTTAATACTTATCGACAAGTAAGGGAGAACGTATTATGTCAATAAACGTTACATTTATTATCTGATAGTTGAAACTAACTTAGTCTATCGTGAAATTTTGTTTCATCATCAGCCTATCAAAGCCCACTTGCTGAGCAAACGCCTCTTCTCACATGGAGAAGGTTTGAGCATTAATCACCATGATTGCTAAATGCGGCTTGGCAATTTCAAACTTATAATTTTCGCACGATGTTTTCATTCATCGTCTGTCAGTTGTGTCTAAATACTCTCAGAAAGTACATATGTCTCGGAAAAATCACATTGGTACTTGCCAGGTTTCTAAGCCGCGCCCTCATGCACGAGAGGCGGGCCTTTAACCTCTAGGCCACGACGATCTTTTATAACATTTTGTTTATGAGTTAATTTGTTCCAGGTCTGTGCGTTATCACCACGAGAGAGAGTAGCAGAATCCTTGGCACTGACATACGCGGAGGCTCCAGGGCGGCCGCTGCCGGATGTGATCTCACAGCCTGGTCTATCATATGACGAGGTCCTTCACGACGACTTCCGGTTTGATCTGAACGCTCATGACGTCATGGTCTTCTTGCATATACAGAAGACGGGAGGAACGTCTTTTGGAAGGCACCTGGTTATGGATCTAGATTTGAAGGTGAGAACTATTTTCTATTTATTAATTACTAGAGTTTGCCAGCGATTTCGTCTGTGTTAATTTCAGATTTAGAAATGTATAGCTCATCGGGCGAACTCTATTGGTTCTTAAACAGTAGATAACAAAATTTTGGATTTGATTAACATATTTTTGTTTCTTTTGCGATCGGATGAAGAGTATCCATACCTTTTTCTGGTTCTAAGCTATCTCTCCACAAATTTTCAGCCAAACCCGTACAGCCTTTCTTGTGTTAAACAGTGTAACTAACACGACTTTCTTTTATAAATAAAAATGTACAGTACGTATTTATAATAATTGTAATATATATTTTTAATATGTTCTGTTAATAGTGTTGTAATATTAACGTGATATATCTAGTCAGTTCCTTACCAGCTCGTGATTCTTATTCATGATTAAGTGTCGCCATACAGACGCCAGCCAGCCTTGTCTGTTTTCCGTTATATACTAAGTAGTAGTTATATATAGCTCGAAAAAAGTTGTTTTATTTAATATTATGTTAATGCATGTATTTTTATATATTGTTGATGTTGTTATGTATGGATACAGTATAAATTATTCGTATATAATACCGAGATCAACCCACAATGTGTCCCCCAAAATTTCTCAAGTAGCTTCTTATGACTTGAGGGATTTATTGAAGGATGTTAACAAAAGGAATTGTCAATCTGTCAAGTTATCCTCACTCGATCATGCTGGTTCCTGGGGATCAAGCGCCTGAATCCTCCATCAATTTAAAATGCAAAGCCGCCGAATGGATCTCTGGAAGAGGTTTCCCAACACGTGACTCGTGAAGTGTCACGGCCGGGCCAACAAGCTATTAGAGCGTGCGTGATGACGACGCTCCGATGGAAATGTTTTTATTCTTTATAGGAAAATGTAAAGTCACCGCTTTCTTTACGCGAATCGATTCTTATTCAAATATATTGTTATCTTGATGATAATTACTATAACAACTGTATAATAAAACATTTTTATATTACAATGAAGTTCTACTAATGTAAAATAGATTTATTATAGATATATATTATACTAGCTTGCCGCCAGCAGCTTCGCCCGCGTGGAGTTCGGTTATATCGCGTTTCCAAGAGAACCTTTCAAAAGTCTGGGATAAAAACAATCCTGTTCTTTCTCAAGGTCAACTCTGTCTCTGTATCAAATTTCATTAAAATCAGTTCAGTGGTTTAGACGCGAAAGCGTAACAGACAGACAGAGTTACTTTCTCATTTATAATATTAGTAGGGATAGTATATGGGTCTCAATTTTATAATCAAGCATTCAGTAGTGTCCTTAATGTTAATCTTTGTCTTTGCACCATCATCAATTATATAGAATTAATTAATAATCACTTTGGAAATCCTTTGGAAGTCTTTCAACCAGGTACAGAAGCATCATTGAAATTTAAGATTCAGCGAATATAAGTATTCCTTATAACAAGTAACTTCGAACTAACTGGTTATACTGTGATCAAATCTGTGTTAATTACCATACATTTGATCGAGTGCTTTTTGATTACGGTTATTTAAGTTCTTATGTACATTATTTACTTGACGTGACATTATTTATTATTATGGTTTAAAATTATTTTATATATTTAGAGTTTATTTTTCTTGTATAAAATATGTCCTTACTTCGGCGCGTATTATTATAATAGCTATGACAAAACAAAATTATTATTAAAAAGATATTTTATTTTTGCAGCTTTTTTTATATTTAGTCACAGTTTACATATATATATATATATGTTATTTGTATTTAACATATACAGTTTTTATGTTCAAGTTTTGTATGAATATATAGTTAATATTTCAGTTACATCTCGCTTAAATTTCATTAAGACCGCATGTTATGCTACGAATTCTAAATGTTCAATGTAACTGGTTTCGTCAGAACCTTTTTTCACAATATTGGGATGAGAATACTGATGTACGAATGCAAATGATGAGATCGGATGCGGCATTCGTCGGCGTATTTGTTACGTTTCCTAGAAAAATGAACATTTGAATGTTAATGTTGGCCTTATTGAGGATCCGTACACGTAGGATCATATCTAAAAATACAATGGTCTGGCTTAGATAGCATCTTTTGAGCGAAAAAAGGCATATTTATTTTTTAGATTATTTTCGTACATTAATGTTGTATTTTATCTTTGTGAAACGAATTTCTTTACTGTTGTGTGTTAATAATTAAACAATTTGCTATTCTTTTGTCTTGATAGTAAAGTTTGTTTTCGATTGAATATTAATTTTCCTTTCATCTATATATGTAAAAGAAAGTTTTGTTAGTTACACTATAACTCAAGAACAGCTGTAGGGATATGCTTGAAAATTGATGGGTAGATAGCTTAGAACCAGGAGACGGATATAGGATATTTAATTCTGTTCTATCGAAAAAGAAAAAAAAACTAAATAAAATCCAAAATCTATTTATTTACTGCCTCTAAATCGGTATAGTTCGCCTGGCCATCTATGTATGTATTTCTAATTATGACAAAGTAGCGGTCAAAAGCTAGTCCTATATATAATTAACACGTGGTCACGCCACTGTCAAAATATTGAACAATTGTTATGTATTTCGTATTGTTATAATGTTGGGTCTGTTAAATCCCCTAACTGTCTGTGGGGATCCTTCATCCAGGCCATTGTTTGTTTTCAAACACGCCAGACCGGTCTTAATATTTGTTTATGATAATCAGCCTGTGTTGGTGCCATTTTGATTTAATTGTTTTAAAGTTACGAGACAAATGAGTTTCGGTATTCGATGTATCACTGTTTAGTGTTTTGATACCATATTAATTGATGTTAAATAATATTACTAAAATTTCTATAGTATTGAAATTTTAAATGTGAACGTTTTTATTTTTGATACTCGAGAACGTATATATTATCAGAAAAACTCAAATGTAGTTTTATGATGTTGTAGTTATACCTTATAATTGTCTAAAATATAAAAGTTCTATAATAATAATAATTAGTAAAAATATGAACTCACCCGTTAAAGGAGTCTAGGAAAAAATATTGCAAGTTTGAACACCTATTGCATGTTGCATTACAATTCATTATATAAACCCATATATACCTATGTACATAAAGTCAGAATCAGTTAATGTTATATTAACTTAACATGTGTCTTAAATTAGAGTTTTCTTAGGATTGTCATGTAAATTTAAATATATTAAATTAAAAGCGTCCTGTTGAAGTTTACATCGTCTGTGTCGATTGTCCTCGCCGGACTTCCGCCCCGGACCTACCCCCACCCCCACCCTGGTAATATCCGCGCTAAGAAACACCACCCACACCGGGGTGGGAAATGAAAATGCTTTGCATTTTAAATGGCGTGTGTGCTATTGACTTTTCTCATCTAGCAGTCTTTGAGGTGCATTTTATACAGAACATCCGACCTGCAGCCACACGAGCGGATTAAATGAAAAACTCATTTATATTTTTTTTTTATTTTCAGAGGCCGTGCAACTGTCAGCGGGCTCGAAAACGCTGCCATTGTTTTCGGCCTCACAGCAACGAAATATGGCTTTTTTCGAGATACTCCACCGGCTGGAAGTGAGTACCTTCTGTATTTAACGCATTCCGTTCACCCACATGGCGGCGGATTAAATTATGACACACCTTAAAAAATAATTCTCACACTTAATTTTTTTGTCATATTTTTCGGGATCATTTAGTAGCGCTGACTGTGTCGGCCTACACGTGTTTCATTATCATTTAATACGGGAAGCGTCAAGTACAGGCCTCCGCCATATTTGAGAGCAATAAATTTGTGTCATGGTAACGATTCGAATGTTCCAAATTTGAATTTGAATTATGATTGTTCCACACGTCGTCGATTCGATTACATCAGTACGGCGCCGAGACTTGGCCCGTTTTGGGAATGCAAATGGGCCGAATATGTTGTACTTTGTACAGACATTCAAATCACCTCTCCAGACTATTGTCCAATGTCCTTGGGGATTATGAGGCTGTTCCTTTGGACGTGCTGGGAATGCTTGATTGGTAACGATTTTCGGTTTCACTAGACGACTAGAATTATCAATTTGTCTTCGAGGTCATCAAAACGGACCATTGCTCTTCCGGAGGCGATTGGGACGGTTTGAAATGAAACAAAGTCAGGAGCAAACGTATGTATGGTGCCAATTAAAGCGGGCATACACGTGTGCGCAACTTTGAAAACAATTGACACAATAAACGTTTAACTGGACACTAACCGTTGGATTGATTATAAATTGTTTGATCAATTGAATAAAACTTCTATACACCTCATTGGTACGCCTCAATTCATTTTATTATTGCGCCATAAGTCTAAAGTATTGCCATTGTGATAATATGCCAAAAAAAAATTGATTTAAATTTTTAATCTGTTACGGTTTCTATCGTCGACTATTTTCATAGCTGAAGGGCCAATTAATATTCACAGTACGCCAGCCTCATCCTCTTCATAGAAAATGTTTTAGCTGTGTTGCCAGCTATAGGATATATTTTATCTTATGATGTTGTCGGTTTTTTTTTTATTAACTTTACGTAGTGGATGCATGTGACAACGTGATTATAATTTATTATTGTAATATTATTTTACTGTCTTTTGTGAGGGTGTATGTGTAATGGTTCTTTTCCTGGCTTTTTAAATATTTTCTATGTTATTGGTGACAGAGCGTCATAACTTTGGAATGACCAGACGTAGAATCTTCAGTATAACGATGCATTCAAAACCCTCGCAATGATTATTTCATTTAAATATCTCATATATCATTCGGAATTATTGTTGCTTTGTTAAAAAAATTACTCTTTGTTATTTCTTTTTTCTACATTCGTATCACGCGTAACTTTTTCGGTTGATATAAATTTTAAATTTTATTGTTGTGTTATATCAACCCTTTTATGATTTCATGAACAAAAGGTTGATGGAATTATTTTATACATGATTACTATTTAATTTTAATGGAAAAATCTTTTTGTCGTTTTTCCCACAATTTGTTAAAAGTGTCTTAACAATCTATTAATTCGGTTACTTCTAACGGACCTCCCAAGTTGTCCCCCTACTTTCAGTCTCATGGTATTACAGTACAAGCAATTATAAATCTAAATGTATTGTAATTAGATATAAATTTGTTTGATCGTTACTATACTCTGAACGCCCTGCCTTTCCGAGATTAGCTTCGCATTGTTGTCTGTTTGCTTAATACGGTTGATGTAAACAGCGTCTGATGAAAGCTCCTTTAATGGGTAAATCAAGCACAACGCCTCATTGTCTCGCTTATTTAAATAAAATTCTTTTAAAAACATTCTCAATTATATAGATTTTTGCTTATAAATTAAGACGGAAATAGTACTTCGAGTGTATAAGTAGCTTTTCAATGTACGAGTTGCCAATAAAAAATATTATGAAATAGCATTCAATGCTTATATTATTAAAGTTTTTCATTTAAGATCACTTGTGAATTCTCAATTCCATCTAGTCGTATAACTGTGTCAGGGTTGGCGCTGTGTGTAATTTAAGTTAGTCCCATCATTCGATAGCATTCAGTTTTAATGAGTCCGTCTGCCAACCCTATCTATCTTTCGTTCTTATCATTGATCGTAAATTAGTAGAGATTATCAGACGCCTCTCGTAGCTAGTCTGTATTCTAAACATGGGCCATATTTGAAACTTGAAAGGATGTTGGGTGAAAAAAGTTGGGTTTTGCACTTTTTGCCTTTTAACGAAGAGCGAAAGGTTCGTTTTTTTCTTCGGTCTGTTGGTATAAATCAATTAAAATGAGTTTCTTGTTCCATTTCGTTCAGTATTTGGGTTTTCGTTTTAGCTACTTAATAAATATCACTTGCCATATATAGATTGCATTAATATCTGGTGATTGTCTTCATATATTGATAGTTAATATTCCAAACACGAAAACGCCCTATACTGGAGGGAGGCAAAGAAAAATAATTCGTGCTAACTGGTCCCAGACGACAATATTATTTTTTTGTATACCAATTAACGTTTCGCGCTGCTAACGTTGGTTCATTACGGGGTTTTTATTATTATTATTTTTATATTGTTTATAAATAACTTATAGAAAATAAAATTAAAAGTCTACAGTCTTTGTAATGGATTTTTTTATTTCTTACGAGATCTCATCTTTGAATCTTTATGTACTAAGTATTATTTAAGTAATCTTATTTCTCATACGTAATTTTTACTACATATATACTATATTTATATCATTATTTATGTCGAGCAAAACGTCTGTAGCACATGTACTCATATGTCCGTACTCACATTTTATATGTTATGGTAGTTGAAAACTTACAATTAATGTTAACCCATTCGATCTGATAAGGGTTAACATATTAATGGTATGTCATCTAGCTAACAAGATGAGTTTAAGTTATGTGGATGTACATACATGTGTGTATATACACACACACAGACACACACATAAACATGCAAGTACCTACATATAAAATACACACACGCACACACAGACACACTCATAACCATGCAAGTACATATACAAATACACACACACGCATACAAACACACACACATACATAATAAAAGTAGCGATAATTATTGTTAGTAATAAAACTACATGATTGAATATATGTTATTATAAAGTGAAATATTTCACATGTACTGTATTTATGTATTATGTATGAGTGTTGTTTTTGACATCGCACGCCGCCGCCGGCTAGAAAGTTGTAAGAAGAAGGGGAGCTACGAAATTGGAATAATTTTTTTAAATTAAAAATTTTGGGGTTGTTGTTGTTGAATACAAAATGGTTATTTCCTCGCAGATTGATTTAGATCTCCCTTAAGCTGATAGAACAGAACCCCTCTAGAATAACACCATTTTTATACATAATAAACAAGGCTAGTTTCAAAGTAAGCATTTATTTTATAAATATAACGGTAATATAATAATGTTTAAATAAATCTAAATCGTAATACATTTTCCATTAACATTTCACAATGACAATTACATGAAAATGCCAGTATGATAAAAAAAAAACCTATAATACCTTATTTTGCTTTCAATCCTGTACCAAGAATTAATCAGTGTCTGTCAGCGGGCCGCACTTCGCTGTTTACATTTGTTATATCACGTAATTTATAACGACTTACTCGTTTGTAAAGCACCGAACAGATTTAAATTTCGAATGTATTCCAATAAGTGAGGTTTTATTCGGAATTCGAAATTTGAAAATATACGAACTTGAAAAATAAACGAGTCTTTATTTGGAAAACATTCGAATATTCGAAATTCAAATTATAGATAAAATTAATTTTTTTTGTAAAGCACCAAACAGATTTAAACTTAAATTTCGAATGTATTCCAATAAGTGAGGTTTTATTCGGAATTCGAAATTTGAAAATATACGACAACTTGAAAAATATAAGTTTTTATTTGGAAAACATTCGAATATTCGAAATTCAAATTATAGTTAAAATTAAATTGAATGAAACAGAACAATGTTGATTGTACAATGGGATGATTGATCATTTAATGGTTTCCTATTAAGACGAGACAAGTTAATATTTTTTATAAATAATTATTGTTTTATATATTATAGTAATTTCATAATATTGATTTTAAGTCCCATTGTAATTGTATCTATAATATTTAATTGGATCGCAGTATTTTATTCACGTTGTCTATTGTTCGGCGTTTCAAATTCTAGTTTAGATTTCGACATGTCTCCTTCAACCTTTGACCTTTCATTAATTTATAAATCGTGTACGACTGTTTGTTGTCTCTATTGTCAGTGAATGCATATTTACATAAGTTCTTTACGTTTTAGTGGTTTTTCGAATGAACCATTTTTTTTTATTTAACAGATGAAAAAAGAAGGTTTTTTTTTTGAAGATTATATGATATATTAAAATTTTAGCTTAATATTTATTTTAAAGGTAATTGTAGCAGTTCTTAATAGGAATTGTCGTAGATGTATTTGAAAATGTTTTACAAAAATAGTTCCATAACATTTTTGAAGTAATTTTTTATTATTTTTAATGTATTTTTTTTCATTCATTCCTTCTCAAAGTCTGAATAGCATTCGGTTACGTCACCGCTGCTCCACACTGCGACATCTTTATTACTTTGATAAATAAGAAGCTTAAAGATAATTACACGGTCACTGACATCGTATGACAAAAATATATATATGTACTATTACATAATGTTCTACATAACATCTGTTAGGAATTAATCATATGTATGTAAGTGTTGGGATGTTTTTTGTATATACAATACGTTCTATGTATTTACTATGTATTTTATGTGAGGGATCGAATCTAAAGTATGTGATTGAAAACTTATTTGTTTCGCTAACTATACAGGGTGACTGGTTAATTACTATCGATACTTGAGGACGTGATATTTGACGATCATATATGACAAAATAAAAATTAATATAACATAAATATTAATAAACTTCTAAGTAGAGTTAACCAAAAGTTATGTAATTAATTACGCATCGTGTAAACACCCTACAGATTAGGTATACACACACACATACGCGTGCGGCGGCGTGGTGTTGTATCAGCACGCCGCCGCACGCGTCCA